CTAAGAATCTGAACTGCTCAGTAATTTTTTCTCCTGGACATTGTATTTTGCAGGATCTGGATTCAAAGAGGACGATTGGGAGTGGTCGTGAAGTGAATGGAATCTACCTCYTSGATACTCTTCCAATTCACCAAAGTCATCATGTTTGCAAGGACAGTGAGTCAAAACTTGTGGATCAGATTATACTTTCGCATTATCGTCTGGGCCATTTGTCTTTTCTTCTTTAAGTTCTTTGTTTCCAAAACTGTTTGAGTCTGTGAGTCTGTCAAGGTTGAAGTGTGAAGGTTGTGAACTTGGAAAGCATTGTAGACACTCTTTTAAACCGAGTAATAAAAGATGTTCTTCTCTTTTTGATGTTATTCATTCGGATGTGTGGGGCCCTTATCTTGTTCCCTTTATGGGCGGCTATCGCTATTTTCTCCTATTTGTGGATGATTTCTCTCGATATTCCTGGATTTAYTTGATGAAATCACGTGATGAGGTACCATCCTTGGTGAGACAATTCCATCAGATGGTATTAACACAGTTTGGAACTAGAATCAARATGTTCAGATCTGACAATGCTAGGGAATATTTTGAGAGACATCTTGCCTCATATCTGTTGGAGTATGGTGTTGTCCATCAGAGTAGCTGCTCCTACTGTCCACAACAGAATGGTGTTGCAGAGAGAAAGAACAGACACATTGTTGAGACGACAAGAAGCATGATGATCACAGCGACAGTTCCGGTTCGTTTTTGGGGTGATGCTGTTCTCACGACAGTATATCTTCTCGTATACTTGGATTCAGCACTCCATTCAACTTTCTTTTTCCTTAGGGGGAAATGTTTCATATTCCTCTAAGGGTGTTTGGGTGTGTCTGCTTTGCGCATATTCTTGGTCCTTACCGTTCGAAGCTTGATCCCTAGGCAAAGAAATGTGTCTTCCTTGGATATGCAGAGAATCAGAAAGGGTACTGCTGCTATGATCCAATCTCTGGGGACCGGTTTGTTACTATGGACATCGTCTTTTTCGAATCTACATACTTCTTCTCMAGGAATCCTTCTCAGGGGGAGTGTTTTGGGGAAGTAAGTCAGCAGTCTATCCCTCTCCCAGTTCCAGTTCCTGTGCCTACTACTGTGTGCTTGACAACCATCCGATGTCACCTACCTTGCCCCCCCCTTTGCGTTCCGTCTCACAGTATTACTCACGGCAGAGACTTCATAAGGAGGTTGATTCCACTACAACAGAACTCACACCACTTTCTGTCGATCCCTTGGAGACTCCAGATTCGGCTGATACAGATCCAGGTATTCCTCTTGATCCCTCTACTATTTCAGTTCCCATTGGTCCCACTAACACTGTTACAGATAACCTTGATCTCCCTATTGCTCTTAGAAAAGGGAAGATGAAGTGCACTGCTCATTGCATATCACAATACTTATCCT